TCCCAGAATAGTTCTACCCTCGCATCTTCCCATAACTGCACCTCTTCATTCATTTCTTCCATCTCCCTTTCAAGTTTTCGTTCCGTTTTTACCGGATCAAGGGGGTCTTGGTAACCATTATCCGCGCGTTGCTGCCAATGGTTTAGCCATTTTCCTCTCCCCATTATGAAGTTCTTCACACTTGATAACCATGCCCGATATCTATTCCAATGATATCGTTCAATGTGTGGTTTCCACATTTCATTTGTCCGTAACAGGCCTTTCAGTTCCTTTTGGCCATGACCTTTGAGGTCTGCTATTGCAGGGTTGCATTTCGGCCATTCCGAAAGGTCATCTTGAGAGGCGTCCTCTCGACATTCAGCACATTCCCATTGAGGTTGTACTCTGCACGGATCTTCATAGTAACCGTGGTGACAACTCCTAGCTCGTTCTTCTGGAGTTAATGTCCTTTGGCTTATTTGCGGGTTATTATCTTTGTGTGCTGCGGCATCTTGTTCTCGTTCAATTTGGATCACACTTGCGTCATCAGAGGATAATGCGATGACCTCCTGTTCTTTATTCACTCGGTGACCTTTCAATTGTTCAATCGCTTTATCGCGAATTTCTCTGGTAAACATCTGTTCCTCTTCGGCTATTCGTTTCAATACTCGTAACCTTTCACTCTTTTTATCCTTCCACACTTTAGCCGTCTTTATTCCCAGTGCCTCTGGTACTGGGATAGGCTTTGCCCACTCCATGCCAGGCACGAGCGATTGTTTCGCTGCGGCTGCCGCTTCTTTCTGTGTGGCAACTATCTCTTCAAGCGTTGGTGACCTTTCGTCATTGATAGCGGAGTGTGGTTCGAGAAAGGGTTCCTTTTGAGGATCACGTTCTGTTACCTTTTCTTTAGCTTTATCCGGTGACCTTTCGTTATGGGTAGCAGATCGTGGTTCGAAAAGGTTCGAAGTACGCTCTGGTATTCTGATCGCCGGTGACCTTTCGTCTTTCTTTCCCAGTGCCTCTGGTACTGGGATAATTTTTTCAACCGATTCTTTTTCTGTGACTTTTTGCTCACAGGCATCTGCGATCATACTTCTCCCGTCCGGGAGAAATATGATCGCCTCATTCATGTCTGGCGCAAGCGTTTCCTTTTTCTTTTCGTTGACTTTCTTGACAATTGCAATTTCGTTATCTTTCGTAACAGGGCGTGGTTCGAAAAAGGTCGTACTGGCGTTTTTCGGATCCGACTCTGGTACCAAGTTCACAGTATCTGTAATTGGTGACCTTTCATTTCCCTTGCCCAGTGCCTCTGGTACTGGGATAACTTTTTCGACATTTCCATTTTCAATTTTCATTTCCAGTGCCTCTGGTACTGGGATAACTTCTTGCTGTTGCACTTTAACGTTCTGCTGCACTTTTGTCATTCCCGGTGCCTCTGGTATTGGGATGACCTTTTCTCTTCCCTTTTGTGTCAGCGGTGTCCGATTTAATGTGTTTTCTATTTCCTTTTGGATCACTTTCCACTGCTCCAATGTTGACAATTCTTTTTGTACCATCTTTTTCGTTTCCTTTCCCTGTGCCTCTGGTACTGGGATTAGCGTTTTATTAGCCGTTTGAGCAAGTTCGGTGACCTTTCCGACTTGAACTTTGGCGACTGGTTTCGGATCATCTTCTGTTTCCTCTTCGCCTTCGTTATCCATCAGTACGAACTTCTTTTCTAAGAAGTCGAATCCCAGTAGCACCTGTACGTCGTCACATTTCGGTCGGACGTAAAAGGAGTGTTCACTAGTCTTTTTCCTCAAGGTCACTGGTGCTACACAGTAGTGCGTCACCATGAATCCTGACGTTCCGCTAATTTCATTTATCCTCACCAGTCTGTCTGGTGGTAGTGGGAGCATATGAAGTCCATTCTTCTCACAAAACGGTTTGCTGATCAGCGACGTCTCAGCGCCAGTGTCCAACATTGCGTTGACCTTTATGTCTCCCACTTTCACTTCGTGTGTATACGCTTCAATTCTTTTGGGCAATTTTCCATTTTGAATCTTCAATGTATGAACTTTACATTTCACAGGGATTAGCGATACCGGTCCCGGATCCATATCGGGAGGCACTTGTCCTTTTGTCGAAGTACTGTGACCTTTCAGTATTTCGCTCAACTTATCAATCCTGTGTGGGACGTCAGTTCGGACATCGTAATATTTTCGCGGCTTCTCTTTATTTGTTTGCTTCTCTGTTGCCGTTTTACCACTGATGACCTTTTCTCCATTCTGCACTTGCTCATTTGCTTTTGTGCTATCCACGTGACCTTTAGTCACTTCGGTTATCGTCTGATGAATCAGTTCCTCCTTACGGTTTTCATTTCGTTTGTCTCGCAGCTTCTCGATGACCCCATTTGTTATCTGGTCAGCTTTCTTCAGGTCATATTCTTCGCTGTCCGGTGACCTTTCACACGTTATCATATCGTATCCCTTTTGAGTCATCCATTCAATCACTTTCGCTGACACTTCATTATTCGTTTTCATCGGGTCAGTTTGTGAAGACATTCCGTCTGTTCGGGCTGGTGACTTATCGTTGGCATCCTTTTGCAGTGCTTGTGATAAGTCCCGTGACCTTTCGACTGCATTACTCTGTCGCGTTTGTGGCGTCTCTTTTGACCGTCCTTTCTGTTCATTTTGCGCTAAGTCCTGTGACCTTTCGTTGCGCTCTATGACAAATCCGCCATTTGACGACCTTTGTATGGGAACTTTTTCACCATAGTTCAAAGGTTTTCCTTCCGGTGGGGCATTTCGCGGGTTATTCATGTCAGCTTGTGCGTTCTTGTATTCAGTCGCGTTGAATACTGGGGCAGGGTTCAGTGACCTTTGCGTTAGTTTCCCGGTAACTAACTCTTCTAATCGCTTTCTTTCGCATTGCGTTCGCAACTGTTGCATGTCCCAGTAATCTTCTTGCGACATTCCCCCTTTTTGTTTCGCTTTTGGTGTCACGGGTGTCCACATCCCGTGATTTCCGTTCGGTCTGTAGGCCACTTTTCGCCATATTTCCTTCCGTTGCAACGTTATTGCATCCACAAGCGAGTCATCAGAGTTTTGTGCATTTCCGCCATTCTTTTGCTGCGCTGTTCGCAGTGTCAAGTCTGTTTCTTGACCTTTCAACACGGTGCTTTCACCATGACCTTTAACGTTCGCACTTGCTCCTTGACCTTTCACTTGGACTTTTCCTACGGAAGGTGACCTTTCGTCTTTATTGTCACTAGTGGTATTCTGCTTTAAGTCTTTGTCTTCCAAGCAACTGCAAAATCTGGGTCGGATGCCTGTTTCCGTGTATCCTGTCCCCGTTACACGACAACTGCAACGTGGCTCTTTCTCTGCCAAATATTTTCTGAATTTCGCATGTTGCTCATCATCCACTTCTTCTGGTGTGCAGTTACATCTCGTCTTTTGACATCCATTTCCACTTGCAGTATCATTCTGCAGTGGTGACCTTTGATTCAGTAGCGCCTGGCGAATCTTTGCATTTCGTTGTGCGCGTCGTTGCGCTAACACTTCTTCGCTGCAATACGGTGACCTTTCATTTTGCTGCGCTGTTCGCAGTGTCGCGCTACCGTCACGACAGTTTCCACTCGCAGTGCCATTCTGCGGTGACCTTTGGTCCCGTTGCGCGCCTCCACTCGCAGTACCATTCTGCGGTGACCTTTGATTCTGTTGTTGTGGCGGCATCCTTATAGCCGCTTCAATTTCCTTTTGCAATGACGACATCCATATCGCCGTCTCATTTTGCTGTGGCGGCATCCATATAGCCCTTTGCTGTGGTTGCGGCATCCATATAGCCGGTCCACTTTCTTTGTTCGCTGACGGCATCCTTATAGCCGTTGCATTGGTCACATTCTCTGCAGTACCATTCTGCAGAGGTGACCTTTCCATTCCCTTTTTATCCGGTGGTTTAGGGTCGGGACGATCAGTAGGCTCACCGGTGCCTACTGATCTTGCCCGTTTCCCTGAACCGGCGCACCACCTTGTTGCGCGCCCTGTACATTTCCTTGCACGTTTCCTTGTTGTTGACCGATATTGTTTGCCGGGTTAGGGTTCTGTCCATTTCCCATGTTCTGGCCGCCACCATTATTTTGGCCACCACCCTGTTGGTAGTTTCCGCCTCCGTTCCCACCGCCTCGGTTACCGCCATTCCAATTTCCGCGGCCGAAGCCTCTGCCTCTTCCTCTGAAGCCGCCGCGGCCGTAGCCACCACGGCCGTAACCACCACCTTGGCCGCCTCCGTTGCCTTGTTGGTTTGGGAAAGTGGCCTTATGCTGGTACCATTGTGTTATCAAGTCGTATCCATTTGCCACCGCTTGTTGCCAACCGCCTAACCCGCGCAGTCGCTGCCATTCTCTGAAGGTGAACAGATTCGGATTCTGTTCCGGTGGTGTGTTGGCGAATTTGCATCCCTGCGTTTGGTGGTTTCCATACATGCAGTGCTGACACATCTGCACACCATTTGCAACCCATCCATCGATTAACTGGAACTTGAATTCTGTCCGTGACCCCTGATTCTGGTTTCCTCTATTTGGCTGAAAGTTGCCTTGACCTTGACCCTGATTCTGGAAGTTTCCTTGACCTCCGTTCCAATTTCCATTTCCATATCCGTTTCCGCCAAAGTTAACTGGCTGTTGTGGTACTCCCATATTCAGTGGGACTACATTCTGGGGTGCTGGTCTCGCTTGAGCCGCCATCTGTACTGCCGCCGCCTGTATGGCTGCTACCATTGCCTCGGCGAGAGTGACCTCCCTTATTGCTTCCTGAACTGGATTTGCTCTGCGATTTTCCTGTGACTGTTGGGCCGGCGCCGCTGCCATTCTCTGGTGTGGCATGTCTTCCACTTGACCCTGGCGGATGGTCACGTAATCCTGGTTACGTTGACCTTTCGGCGCCTTATATTTTTCCTCCCCAGTAGCCCAATGTCGGAAAAAGTCCTTTACGTCTGTTGGCGTCCTGCACTTTTGTGTACGCAATGCCTTGTATAGTTCGTTATCTACTCTGCATCCTTCGATTAAGAAGCCCACTGCTTGTTTTTCCGTAATGATTTGCTTTTGCTTTGAATCGCATCATCGCCTGATAATATTGGTCGAGCGACTCTTTACCCAGTTCAAATTTCCTCGCGTAGGCCTCGCGTAGGCCTAAGACTTCTTCGTCCCGATCACCGTATTCGTCTTTAAATTTGTCCATCCATTCTGTTACGGTATATTCGATTCCGTCTTCTGCCGCGATATCCTTTTCTCCTTCGAACCAGCCTTTAGCCGGCCCTTTCACTGCGCTGGCCACTTCAATCATTATTTGTTTGTCAGTGAGCTCGTAGGTGTCCAGTGTTTCTTTCACCAGTCTTGTCCAGCCATTGACGGTGTCGCGGCTGCCGTCAAAGGTCACGAGTGGCGTTTTCCGAGCCATGGAGTTCAATGCTTTTGCCAATGCAAATCCTCCTCTTGGATCTTCTTCTTCGCTACTGTCGTCATCGTTTTGGTTTCGTCTCGGCTTAGCGTAACGGGATTTCCTTGGACGCTCCTGTCGACTAGGGGGTCTGTCCCGTCGCCCTTCGTCGATGGACGCGTTCACTTCGCTATGTGGGGGAAATTGTGAAGGGTCACCTCGGCTTGAGTGTGAGTAGCCTGATGGTGGTTCCTTATCATCTTTGACTTTTTCGCCGTCTTGTTCCGTTTTAACGTTCCCCCTGCCTGTACCGGTTCGTAATGGCATTTCAAAATGGAAGCTTTTACCCGTGCCCGTTTCATGCGCTTTGCTGTAACTGGGCGGAGGCGATTCCACCGTTGTCGTTCTAACTCCGTATTGCAAGAGCTGTTCGTCTTTGTGCTTATTAGACATATTGAGCGCTTTATTCTCATCTTCGAGGCGTCTGATTTTCAACTCCGATTGGTCTTTCTGGACTTTCAAGTCCTGATTTTCCTGATTGATCTTTAACATGTGGTGGTGAAGCTGGAATGTTTTCTCCTGAACGACTTTTTCAGTGTCATTCTCCACCTTTTTGATATGTTCCGCCAAATGGGTAACTTCTCTTTCCAGCTTCATATATTCTTCGGCTGCCGCTTTCAATTGGTCTTTTGTCTGAGTAACTTCGTCTTCTCTTGTCATCACTGTTTGGGTCATATCAATCAGCTCCGTATTGAGCTTAATGATCTCTTGTGTCTTCTGGTGGACTGTTTGTTGCCACTCCTTGTCTTTCCGTTCGAGCGCCGTAACCATCTCGTCTAAACGGAGTGCTTCCCGTTCCCAGTTCGAACCTTGTTCGGCCATGGCCTTGGCGGTTTCTTTCAACTCCTTGTTTTCTTCCGTGACCTTTTTATTCTCTTCTGTCACCTGTCTTATCTCATTCTTCAGCCGTGCACCTTCGGTGGCTGTAAGGTCCCTCAAGTCCTTAGCCGCTTGGATGGCTTCGTCGGCTCTTCTCTGATGACCTTTCGATTCTCTCTGAAGAATTCCGATACTCTCATCTCGCTGCTTTAGTTCGTTTCTCAGCTTAAACACCTCATTTGTGTTGTTCAACAGTCGTTGTGAAGCTTCAGCCAGTTTATTCGCATACTCGTCTCTTTTGGCTTCTGCTTCGGTGACCTTTAACTTCAATGAGTCGCATTCGTCCTTCAATTCGGCTAAGTGCCGTGACCTTTCCGCTGACTCTTCTGACATACTCTCGTTGAGATCACTGACTGCGAGATGACCTTCCATTTCTCTGTCATCTACCATTTTCAGGTATTCCTCTGCGAGTTCTTTTTGGCGCTCATATTTGATTTTCCATTCGTCCGCTGCGTTTTCCAGGTTACCCTGTTGCTGCTCCAGTTCATAAATACGAGCATCCAATGATCCTATCCGAGTTTGGTATTCCTGTTTCTTCTTCATCACCTGGTCCTCCTTGGCTTCGAGTTCTTCTTCCAACTCCTTCACGCGTCTCCTAAGAGTTGACGTGGGACTGTTCGGTGATGGCGGTCTTACGTTGATGACCTTTCCTGTCTGTGTTCGTTCAATGAGGTGCTCCGGTATATCTTTGAAAGGTGTTATCCCTTCTGCACGGTCAGCTTGTCTCATCGCCGAATGGAAGGACATATTTATCGTCGTTTCGTCATCCGTGAAGTACGATTCATTTGATTCGTCTGAGACCCTTGGAGTTGCCCAAAGGTCATCGCCTGCAGTCCTATCATTCAATGAAAGGTCATCCAATCCGAGTTCAGCAAGTTCCTCTTCGGTGACTTTTGTCTTGTCAACTTCCGATTGAGCTAGGTTCACATTTTTATCCTGCTCATTCGTTCCGGTTGTGGTAGCATCCGATTGTGATGCTCCAATTGTCTCCGCTCCTCTTTCTGTGGTTCCATCCTCCCCAGTGACCTTTTTCTGGTTCATCGGTTTACCTCCCGCCACAGACGCGGGGGTTTGCTTTCGATCTCCGCTGGAGCTCTCTTCGTTCTGTGTAGCTCCAAGCGCCACTTGGTATGTACTGTCGCTGCCTTTGCTGTCCTTCCTTGCAAAGGTCACAGCCGCTCGGGTCTGTCTATCGTGCCCGACTGGACGTGCGAGCGACTTATATTCCTTCTTATAGGGATCGATTGCGCTTTGCTGTGACCCTCGGGAGCTCCTGCTTCCCTGACTGCTGTTAGATGTCGGTTCCTCTTTGTCTTTATCCATGTTGATCGGATAACTTGGACGCTCCTGTCAATTGTTCTCACACACACGTTATTGTATGATTTGTTCAGTTGTCCTAAAGGTCACTTTACACTTCGAAATTTTTCTAAGTCCCTGTTAAAGGTCACTTTTCGACTGAGAAATTTCGGCTAAGTTCCGTTTAAAGGTCACTTTTTCGATAAAAAGTTCGAGAGGTTTGCTCTAAAGGTCACTTTCCAGACAAGACTTTCGAAACCGTTTTTCACTTCGAAACACCTTTACAAATATAATTCTACAGCTGCTGATATCGCTGTACTATTAATCGACTCGGTTTCAACTTCGTTAAAAGGTCACTTTTGACCAAAGATCAACTTCTGATCTCAAAGGTCACTTTCCAACTCAACTCAACTTAAAAGGTCACTTTCCGGCTCAATTTTAAGTTAAAGGTCACTTTCGAACTCGGTTTCGGTTAAAGGTCACTTTCCAACTCAATTTCAGTTAAAGGTCACTTTTCCTTTCAAATATCTCATCTCAATTCAAATTTCCCATTACAGCTCGAGTTCAACGGAAAATCCCCATTCGGGTTGTTTACTTCGTTCCTATTGGTCCGCTAGTTCAATTTACTCAGTTCAGATTTCGACCAATCACAGCTCAGATAACTGACCAATAGCGTTAGTCCACTTAAAATTTATATCCGCCTGACGTCACGGTCAACGGCCAGACATGCGTGCCGTGCGCAAAACTCCGCCTACGTCTATGCTCAGCTCAGAACGGACCAATGAAAATTGCCACTTTTACCAACTAACCAATCCCGTAATTAATAACAGTTTTTCTACCTGTTTCCTCGTCCGTTCCACAAGAATCGATCCCGATGATCCAGATTCTTCTTCCACTGTCCGTTCCCGCGCTGCCGCCGGTTTTACCGTAACGGTTGTGCCGCACGCTTTTGGTCGTTTACTGTGCCGGCTGACTGCCGTAGCAACAGTAGTGGCGCTCTACTCCAGTTTGGAGGAGTCTGATCTGATCTTGTCCCGTGCGCCCCTTTTGGCGCTTCGCCGCTTGTGGCCCACGGCTTAGGCTTCGCTGAAGCCTTGCCGAGTAACAGTGACACCAGCACGGGTCTTCGCTGAAGACTCCGTACCGAGGAACACTGCCGACTGAAATCTTGCACTCTTGCACAGCTAAGGAAACAGCACAGGTCTTCGCTGAAGACACTGTACCGAAAACCGAAGCTGGAAGTCCGCGTCCGATGGGGGAAATTTCACCGCTTGTGGTGTGCGCCTTGCTGTCACACAGACCTGTGCCTTACTGGTCGCAGGTAACACGTCCGATAACAGGCCAAATATGCCTGACACAAATCAAATCAGATCAATTCAGAGAACCGCTGTCGGCTCTGCTACCATCTAATGCTAGATCCAACTGTGATCCAGATGCAGAGATAGAAACGGAATCTATCCTGCGGAAGCGAGCGATACGATATGGATCGCGAGCTATGCGGAAACACAAACGTAAATCGCTGACTTTTAATAATATTGAAAGTCTGGTGAAAGGAGTGCGATTCTGAGCGATACGTCTATGTGAGCGAGGATCGACGATGAAACACAAGATCGAATAAAATCGTATTTTATTAGATCGTAAATCAAAAACATCAAATCATCGAGAAAACATCAGCGAAAGAAAACAGAAAAACACCGAAGTGAAAATCTAGGATCCTTCACTGAGGCCAAAAATCCGTCGTAATGAATCGGTGGAATCCGATGAATGGAGATCGGCTGCACCGGCGGTCCATCCGAGACCGACGTGAGCAAAGAGCCGAACGCTCTAGCATGCCACGGGCGGGGACACGGAGGTCCTCCGACGTGCATCGGATCCAAATCGGCATCGGGGGATGACTCGCTGGTTAATGGCGATTTTAACATGAATGCAACAAATCGTAAAAACATCAATTCCGATCATAGAGATCAACATAAGTGAGAACAAAAGTAAATGCGCTTTCATCACACGATTTGAAAATCGTTAGCAAAAATCACAACGTAAGACGATCGTTAAAATCGTAAACACAATTCAATCGTTATCAAATGCATTTTTAAATGCGTAATAAAATCGAGAAAAATAATGAACACTTTATTCCACTGGGCGTAAAATGGATTCCGGGAGGACTTACAGTTTCACGGGGCGATTATCGTCAAACTGTCGAGGTTGACCGTTTCATCACTGCGCATCGTATTCACCACATCACTTCTTCTCTTCATCTTCCGCTGTCTTCGTTTCGTCGTCCGGTTTCTTTTTATCCGGTTTCTCGTCATCGGTTCTCTTCACCAAACCGACAGCTTCCAAATTCAAATTCCGCATATCTTCCAGCGATGGACATACAGGTAAGTTATTCGCATTTCCGACACTGCTCTGGTCAGGCGCATTAGCGGGCGCCGATGTGTCCATTCTCTCATCGTTACCGTGCGGCTTATCACTCAGTCCCTTCTTCTCTTTATCGTTCGAATCGATTTCCATTTCGGTAAGTTTCTGGAAATTCGGGACTTCAACATCTTGCCGCATATTTCCTCGCCCTTTCGGTTTATCCTCCCCGGAATCTGACTCTTTGCTGACTGACTTTTTCGTTCGTCGAGATCCCTGACCAGCCTTTCGGCGATCGCGATTCGGGGAATCCATGCCGCCAGTATGACGACTTCGATGTGGGGAATCCAAGCCGCGGGGTTTGCGACTACGATTTGGGTTATCCAAACCGTCTGAGTGACGATCACGATTCGGGACATTTCCACAACCGCCTGATTGACGGAGACGATTCGGGTCATTTCCACAACCGCCTGATTGACGGAGACGATGCGGGACATCTCCATAACCACCTGATTGGTGGAGACGATTTCCACGTTTATCAGTTCCTTCCTCCCGTCGTGTTCTCTTACTGCCTTCGGACAAATCCTCAAGCTCGCGATCCAATGTTTCTGCTGTTGTTGATGATCGCTTTCTATTCCAGGGCTTCCATTTTTCTCTTTCTTCGATCATTTTCAGGTGATCCTCGATACAGTCCGTAGTACGGACTCCGTACACTCCAAGTCGTATCGTGTAGCATCGGGATCGGGAAGAGTTCCTTCAATTAATCGCCGCAGGGAAGTTGCTACGTCGATCATTCGTTGAGGACGTCCTATTCGGTCTGCCAGGTAAGACAATTCTGGGACTTCCGGGTCGTAATGATGCAACTTGTTGTGACTGTCGTAATGGCCAAGGATCGCTGCCAACGCACGTCGTAAGTATATCTTCGGTTTTGCCCGGTAAGTCGTCGATTGATCGTTTCCGCGTTCTGCAGTTGGCCAAAGATCGGGATTTCTTAGTTTGAACTTGTCCATTGCGCGCAGCAACCCAGCAATTACACGGCAGGCATACAGGTACATCGCCGGATTAGCGTTTTCGTGAAGGAACTGTGCAGCGAAGGCTTCGGCGTCGGGCATCGGGCGCATCGCGAACTGGAATAATTTTTCGTAATTTGGGTGTTGAATCGGTTCAGTAATCCCAACCAGTCGCAAGGCACTTCGCAATCCATTCGCACGTCGAGCTGAATATCGTCGCCTTGCGTCTCCTTCTCGTGGGCGCAGCTGGCTGGTGTTCTGTAAATTCGCGTATGCCGCTTCGAACTCGACTTCCCGTAGGAATCGATGAGCATCCATTACCAATCGCTCGATGGATTCGTGGACGCTTGCGTAAGAATGTTCAGGAACATCCAACATATCCATAATTAAATTCGTCGGCGTCTGGTAATCGTTGAAGTCAAAATATATACCCAATTCAGAAGCTCGTCCGGACAGTTTCGGTTTCAGCGTCTCAAAATCAATTCCGCGATCTTTTCGGATATTTCCAAAGGCGACGGGACGTCGATTTCCTTCCGGACCACGGCTTCCGCTTGGACGGTTTCTATCCACCACAGGTTTATCTCGATCATGGTAAGTACGGCGCGGAAACTGTGGCGTATTTATCAAACGTTGAACTTCGGGATCTTTCATCGGATCATTGAAGAGTGGATCATCGTACTCTTCTTGCAGCGGTCTCATCGGACGTGGTCCCGCATTATTAATTACTCGAACTCGTGGAAATGGACGCTGGAGTTCTTCTTGTGTCGGCGGTAGAATCGGTTTCCGGTGTTCACGTTGATGTTGTCGTGTTGGTTCGTCTCGATCCTTCACCGCATCCAGGACGTCGTTGAGATTCATCGCCCGGGTGTGCACTTCGCCACATTCATGAGCCCGTCCATATTCATCGACTCCTGTAATCATGTATCGCATATTCGGTGGACGCTCACGTGAGTTTCCACTGGACGCACTTGGGGGTTCATTCGATCGCTGGAGTCTTTCTCGTTCGACCCGTTCTTGTTCTCGTCGGTGGCCCAATTCTCGATCCGCGAGATCTGCCTGCTCCCGCTCGCGCTGCTCCTCTCGATT